CACTGTTATGCATAACTGCAATGCTCCAATAAAAAGGAAAAGAAAGAAAATGTGGAAATACTTTGGGTCTCCACAATAGAACTGTAAGGTATGTCTCAAACATATGTTAGTAATAACAGTTACACACATTTTTAATGATTTGCTTCCTTCAATAAATCAGAATAGATTAAAGTTTAGTAATGGTACTCTTAACACTTGCAGTCTGATATGCTTCCTTCAATGGTTGAAGAAGAAATGCAACTGGATAGAAAACTGCACATTAAAATGTGTCACACATATAGGTGCTGGGATTGTGGTTCAGTGGTAGAGCACTTGCCTAGCATATGTGAGGTACTGGGTTTGATTCTCAGCAGCACATACAAACAAAAAAATACAATTTAAAAAATTGCATCAACAACTAATAAAAATATTTTTAAAATGTGTCACACGTGTAAATATCTTCTACTTTGATGGGAACAAATTCGAGAAACTCTAACTTAGATAACAAAATCTGTTTTTACTCCTGGATGAGAAAACAAGGGCTGTGAGATTCAACTACTACCTCAGTTCAGTGCTTGCTTCAGTTCACATAAGAACTATGTCTGTACATTTAAACCGTGTTCTTTTAAGAATTAAAACTTGGGTTCAATCCCTAGTAAAAAAGAAAGAAAAGAATTAGAACCCTATGCTTACAGAATACATATTCTGAAATAGGGATATCTATAAGGTACTGCTCCCTAAAAAATAATAATATATATCAGGAGGCAAGAAATATACAACTCATTAATGAGTATTATTAAATTTAAAAATAAAGTTTAAATTTCAAACAGATTAAATAAATGCACTTAAATGTGGAGGGAGCACTAGTTAGAATTTTAAGAAAGTAACCTTTGGTTTTTCTGTACCAGTTTTCAGCAAATGCTTGTGGTTTAAATGAAAGGGCAACTATCCAACAACAGATGACAATCTAAGGTGAAAGAAAAATAAATCAGGAATCCAGACAAACTGAACAATTTTTTCGATTAAATCCCCTTTAAAGTAAATTTCTGATAATTCCTAATGAGATATAGTAATTTCATAATTATAATAAGAACAGATAATCTGAAATGTTGATTATTACTTCTATACAAGTGCAAAGGTCATACAATTTAAGTAAATTTAATGTATATTATTTTAGTTTCTTATGTCTAAAACTTAAGGATTATTAGAATGGTAGAAAACCAGAACAAATAAAATTGCTACCATTTAAGAACCAAATACAGAAGTTAAGCACTTCCCAAATCCAGATATTTATCTACATTTTCTCATTTCCTGTACATAACTACCTTATGCAGCAATTTTATCATCCCCATTTAATAGATGAAGGAACTACAACTTAAAGAGAAACTGGGACTGAAACCCAGGTTATGTAACTCCAAAATAAGCTGCTCTTCTTTTCACGTTTCCCTACCTAGCAAAGAACACCTACCTGAAAATTAGTTATAGTTTGATAATCATATATGAATATTTAGAACTAATTCCAAGTCATGCACAACATTAGATTTTCAAGAGCAGAATATATAATACCTCACAAATGAAGAAATCTGAATATTTTTATAGAAAAGTAGTAAGTAAACTTTATCATATTACCTATTTAAGGCCTCAAATTTTCTCAACCATATAGCAGTTTCATATGGTAAACTAGGATTATATTTATATGTATGAAATGAGATAATGGAGGCGTTTGGTTCTGAGGACTCTACCAGTACTCTATTCTTTTCTGCTTTCCCTCAGATCTGGGAGTCTTCTTCCAATTTAGGACAACTGAGCCTCAAGGTCAGAAACTCTTATAAATCTAGATGAAAATATAGATACAGTAAAATGAAGTCCACAAAATTGGTTAGCAGAATGTTACAGAAGAAATGGAGTTTAAGTTATTTTCCAAAATACTATCTAGGGTAGAATTATTGATGACTCTTCTGTATTTTTACCAATAGAATTTATTTAACTTGTATAATTGAATGAAAAATAGTAAAGGAGTAAGAAAGGGAAAGAGAGAGGAAGCAAGGAAAAACTGGAGCTTTGATTTTTTTAAAAAAAGTTAAATATCTAATTTTTTCTGAATTAACTGAACCTACCATTGAATTTCCAAAACTATTACCTGCTTGTTCACTTAGATCTATCAATAGATTAACCACACGTAAGTAGACCAAAGGAATGAAAAATGGAAAAATAACAAGGCAATCATAGATCTGTAAATTCTGAGACATATCTCTTAATTTCAATATTTAAGAAATTAGTATTTAAATGGGGTAGGTACAAAAGTAGATGTACTAAAACTGAAAAGGAGAATTCAAACATTTAAAGGAATTTCCTAAGTATGGGAAAATTACAAATGCGATATGCAAATATAAATTTATACCCAATTCTATTTTTATTCCATTATTATAAACTGAAGTGCTATATTAGAAATATTCCTGGGCTGGGGTTGTAGCTCAGTGGTAGAGTGTTCGCCTAGCATGCATGTGGCACTGGGTTCGATCCTTAACACCATGTAAATGTAAAATAAAGATATTGTCCACCTAAAACTAAAAAATAAATATAAAAAATTAAAAACACTTCATAAAAAAAAGAAATATTCCTTTACCAACATTGTGATACAACACCCAAAAGTTCTGAGTCCTACTAAAATCTGACAAATCTAGTTACCTCTGTCTCCATAAAGTAATTACTAGAAAAATTTCAGTTTAAAAGTTCACATTTGTAAACTTTTTCATTATAAAAATACATTCTTATTCCAAAACAATATATGTAAGATTTATCTAATTTATTAAGCTAACACCACATAACTGATAATCTTTTGGTCTTCCCTCCAAAGAATGCTGATTTACAAATCAAGCACAAAACTATATTAACACAAGAATCCAATTATAAAACAAAACTTTCATTTTTATGACAAGTTCATTAGATTTCCTTTCTTCGGGTCAACAAAATGCAATTTACTTATCTGCAGCTTGGTTACAAAGACAATAACTCATTCACAAAATTACTTTGAATAGTCTTATGCAATTAAATTATAGTTTACAAATGCTATTCCAATTTACAAACAAAAATAAGCACCTTTCAGCATTTGTGTGTGTGTGTGTGTGTGTGTGTGTGTAAAATACATATATATTTTGCTGGTTTTTCAAACTTGATCATTTCAGTTCCTCTGTTCCTTAATATTTAGTATACAACAGCTATATAAAATACATTATTGCTTTATACAAATGCTTTGTATCAATTTTTCTGCATAGTTTAAAATTTTTCTGCGTAAAATACAGAAGGAAAAAAAATGGTAGATGTTAAATGTTCACAGACCATAGTTAGAGCTACCTAACAGTTTGAGATGAAATGAAAGTGACTTGTCTACCAAAAGCCTGAATTATTCCTTCCAGACTAATGACATCTAACTTTGAAATAGCGCAAAAGCTGCATTAACCAGATACTAAATAATCTTAGGTGGTGTATATTTAATACTGTCAACCATCAGAAGAGAAACAGAAGAGATCTTCACCAAAGGTCTTTTATGGAAGAAAACAGAGACAGGGATTCCAAGTGTGCCTACATACTCTCTTAATATATACCCAGTACTTCTAGAAGCATAGTTCCTTTGGTTCAAGAATGCTAAGCATAAAAACTTTTCTGTATTATAAAAGATAAACTCAACCTTCCTATGCACTAACAAACTTGTGACTCTTAAAAAATGTCTTCATAAAGACCACATAGGTTTACAAAGACTATAACACTGCACAATAATACATATTTTGCAACGTTTTTTTAAAAAAAAATCCTGTTCTCGTTCCACATGTGGGTTGAAAAGTATTTTCTAGTCTTTAATCACTAAAATAGTTTTGGTCTGTCCTCATTGATTTTTCCGTTATACTTTTGTATATACCATGACTTCATTTGAGAAATTTCCTTAAAATATGTGGAAAACAGTAGTATATCTTTAGAGTGGTTTGTGTCAAAGTGATAGTGATTCCACTATGAATATACTCAGTTGCTTCTGAATTTAAAAGATCAAATCTTCAATTTTTTTTTTTTTTTTAACTATAAGGTGAACCAAAACGAAAGGCTACTCCAACCTTAATGAATTATATTTAGGATTGCACAGCAGTGGATAGCAAAATCACAAATGTAGTACAAAGTGCAAATCGACCGCCTCATATAGACTTTTTAATTTGTACAAGAAGTGCCCTGGCCCTATGAACATCAACCTAATAAGTATATCAAAAAGTTGATCTTAAGGGAAACTCTAAGGCAGAAAACTGACTGGAAGATGCCTCCAAATACCTCCCATCCGTAAATGGCCCACAGAGCACCCCTGATAGTACTAGCTTCGCACAAATGTCTCTCTTGATTGGGTTCCTGGAAGACACGCCCGAACCATATGCGAGGAGAAATGAGAGGTGGAGGATAAAAGCGGGAGGAGAAACTGACACACGCGAAGAGATTGTTGGGCTCCAGTGGATCTTGGAGACTGCAGGGCCCCAGTGGTGGAAACGGGCTGGGGTAACACCCAGCGGGATGGCGGCGCCGGGGAGAAGAGCGCGCGCAGAAGGGTGCGGGCACTGCGGGCTGTGGCTGCAGTCCCCCCCAACGTAGCCCACACCCCGCAGCGCCCCGATCCCGCGATGGGGCGGGGCCATTCGCCCGCCTCAGCCCTTTTGCGCCGGCACCCGCCCCCTCAGCCTCCAGGTCCCAAGTTGGTGGTGGGGTGGGCCTCGCCGGGTTGGGTGGGCCGACCGGCCCAAGCCCCAACCAGGAATGTCCCGCCGAGAGCAGGATGGGCGAGTAACCCCGCAGCCTGGGGCGGAGATGGCTTAGGGCGGAGGAAGAGTGATCGGCGCAGCCCGGCCACCAGGGCCGAAACCCGGCGCCCCACTGCTGGCAGGGATTGTCGCCCCCGCAACTAAGCTGGCCTTCCCTCCTCCTCCCCCAGTCCCGCGGCGTTGCCCGGGGCAACAGCGCCTGCCGCCGGCGGCGCGAAACGCACCTACCTAGAACCTGACAAGCAGGAGCCCCTCAGACACTGGAGCCAGTCGCCACCCCGCGTCACGGGGGCGGTCACAGCCAATAGATGCCGCTGTCACGAACCTTTGCCGCCAATCCCGGTGCACTCCGGTCTCCGGGCACCCTCGAGGCCTCAGCCAATGGGCCAGAGCGGAAGGCGGGCGATGCCGCTCGGCCCCCAACCCCCTCCTCAATCACCTCTCGGCAGGCGGGGCGCGGCCGATTGGCCCAGGCTCCGGAGGGGGCGGAGCCCGAGCTCGAGGCCGGGTGGGTCCGCGTGGACCCGAGTTGCGGGCGAGAGGAGCGGAGGCGTGGAACCGCGGGCTCTGCGCTCTGAGCCCTCTCCCTGGCCTGGGTGGGGTTCTGAGGTCTTCGCTTTTGCGCTGCTCTCCCGGCCTCATCAACCCGCTCCTCCCTCGTCAATATCCTGGGCTGCCACGGTGGGATGGGACCGGAGGCGGACGGCGGCGTCACAGGAAACTTTGGGAGGCTCGCCTGGCGGTGGCCGGGAAGTGGCCGAGCTGGGGATGATAAGCTGGGGCCTCCTGAAAGGGACTATCCCGCGGGCCTGCCGAGGGAAAGGAATTTGGAGGGTGGGGGCGGAGGCGTGATTAAAATGTTAAGTGTGCCCGCGGGGTGTTGAGTGATCCCAACAGCCTAGATCTCCCGGAAAAGGGAAATGCAGACCTCTGCACATCCAGGTCCTTTTTTCCTGTGCGTTTCCACATTTTACTTGCATCTGATCTAACGGTGATTACTTTAAAATGATTTTCAGCTTCTCCAATGTACTGTGAATCCCTTGAGGGCAGGAGCTGTGTCTTGTTCCTGTATTCTCAATTCCTGAGACTTAAAAAACATAAGACAGTATTGGAATTCTAATGGATGCTGTTTATGAAAGTGTACAGCAGTGCCTGGGAGCGTTCTCCTGTAAGAAATCCTTACCTCTTGGAGACTCCACAATGCATTAAGAATCCAAACTAATTTGCTTTTCCAGTGAGGGCTGTTTCTAAAGCAACTTCACCAAAAGAATTTGGTGAGAAATGAGGAATGTGAACTAAAATTACTAGGTGATCTGTTACCTTGTGAAGGTGTTACTCCCCACTGTTTGACGGTGTTATCCTCCCATGTTCCTGTAGCATGCTTTTTAAGACATTGTATCTTGTATAAGGGTTGAACCACATTCTTTGGAGCAAATCTAACATTAACTCCTTATCCACCCTCTCTCTTTAAAATGTATGAGTTATGTGGGAGCCAAATAAGAGTGGTGTTTTGTTTTGTTTTGTTTCTAAACAGGGTTATTTATTTGACCACAGTGAATAGCCCTACACATAGAAAAACATAAACGTTAGTTGGACTTTGTCTACTGTTTGAAAGCCAAAAAACCAAAACATGCTGTAAGGAAAAAATAAATATTAAAAAGAAGAGGCTTAATTCTCCCCCTTTGAGATGCGGGGTTGATTTCCTGCTCCTGCAGTGCCCACCCCAGCTTACCCCCCCCCCCAAAGCGCTTGCCTTAGAAAACAAGTAACTATTAAGTGCTTTCTTATCTTTTTGAAATGTATGCAAATCCTTTTGAAGATGAGCTAYGTCTTTTTGTCAAGTTTATGATCCAGGAATGTCTTTCCCTAGAACCTGGAAAATCACAAACATCAAAGGAGGTAACACCCCTATATCCCTATTCCTGAGAAAGTGGGAGTTTAACCTCAGTATGTGCCCTGCTCCGAGTTGGGAAAATATGATCCTATAATAAAGATAGAAGAAACTTGCTTTTCCTCTGGGAAAATTGACTAATTAGTTAAGTTAGATGATCACCCCAACTATGTAAAAAAGATAAATTATATGACAATAAGTTCTCTTACTTGAGGGCCAATATGGAATGGACTCTTTCTGTGTAGTTACATAAAAATGATGAGATTTCTTTCTGTCTTTGCAGTCCCTTAGCTAATTGCCTGTCATATGATCACATTCTGGCTTAATGCTTTTTCAACAAAAAATTTTCTTTACTACTCTTGTGAGAAGATTTATGGGTTGGAAGATGTTGTTTTTAATCGTATTTTCCMAACAATACCTGTTCCCAGAATATTGAGACAAGGAAGTTAAGCATTTATTATTATTATTATTTACTTGTTTCCCATACTATTTATTATTGGGAATTGAACCCACAGGAACTCTACCCCTGAGTTACATCTCCAGCCCTTTTTATTTTTTATTTTGAGACAGGATCTTGCTAAATTGTTCAAGCTGGCCTCAAACTTGTGATCTTTCAGCCTCACCCTCCAAACTCACTGGGCTTACCGGCTGCCACTGACACCAAATCCAATTTATGTTTTGTTTTCTTTTTTGGTGGTGTTGAAGCCAGATTTAAAGATACCTAGTTAGTGTAGTTAGGGTAGTGTAGTTAGGGTCTAAATGGAAACCAGTATTGAGACTGGATTCCAGGAAACCAGAGCAGCACTTGGGGAAATTGAAATGTTAATGTCCCCAAGGCCCCGAAGCCATCCTAAGGAATTGTTAACAAGCAGCTACCAGCAAACCTGGAGATGCTAATCAAACCACCCCAGGCCCTTCCTGCCCAGATTACTCCTCCAGTCCAGCTATCTCCCACCTTTAGGCCTTTCCACCTGCATTCTATCACTGCAGGACAAAGGGAAACAAAGGACAGGAATGTGGGAGGACTAAAAAAAGAAGACTTTAGCTATAAAAAAGGGAAGCTCTCCCTTTTCCATGGATTCTGCCTTTCGGGTTCCCTTCTTCCTCCCGGGAGAAGTCTTTTCTCTTGTCCTTTAATAAAGCCTTTCACTTTCCACTCTACACTTGCCTTGGCATGCTTCTCTGGTGTTATACTTCAGCATTCGGGAAGCTAGGACTCGCCACCGGTAAATAGCAATAACAGTGTTTGTTTGAGTTTTTAATGTGTTTTCTAAAATGGTCTCTCATTAGATGATGATTTTTAACTGAACTACCAATAAGTTTTAGTAGAGCCAAAAATAATAAATTTAATGTTTAGTATCTATTTTGTAGTTTAATGCACTAACTAAACCTCTGTAAGCAAGCTTCTTAAAATTTAAGTTAGTTTTCTGACAACATTAAATGTTGAGGAATATGTAATGTCAATGTGAATGAATTAAATGAAAGTTTGTGCCTTAAATGGTTGGGAAAGCCAGATACAACTATGAAGATTGCTTCACCATGATATACCTTTTCAAAGAATCCTAGGATTTCCCTACCTTTAACAAAGAATCTAAATCCAGAAAGATGTGATTAGTGAATTTGTTAAATTTGCAGAAAGTAGCTTCAAGTAAAGATATGGTGAAAATAGAACTCTGTGTATCTGAAAACAGTCTTTCCAGTTCTACAACAGTCTTCTCAGTTCCACCTATTCACTTAAAACTACCATATGCCAGCCTTGCTAGGAAAGGCAATTTTGAATGAATGTACTTAAAGTAAATGAATATGGCAAAAATCTATGCTCTATTTTTGAAACGGAGGGAGAAAATCATAGCACATCTAGATTTAAATTTTTCTCTCTGCTATAATTATCACTTTGCATTGCAACACATTTAACAAATACTTTTTCACCTGCTTCCAAAAATACTGTAAAATTTGTCTCTCAGCTTAGAATATGGAAGAATAAAGAGAAATAATTTCCTGTCCAGATGATCTATAGGCTTCATAAAACACTAACCATCCCCACAGGTCATGAAGGAATATGTACCTCAGTTGAAGTTATTAACATAGAATATAATAGATCTGTCTTCTTTCACTTCTTTAGATCTATACTAGGTACTGTTAGATCAGCAGGCTTCCCTTCCCCCTTCCCTTTCAAGGTATCTGTGGGCAGAGACTTTCTACCTGGCTGAGGAGACCCGAAATGGCCAATCAGAAGCTGAAATGGCAATGGACCCAAACCACCAAGGGTTCCTACCCCATCGGAAGCAATCTCCCTTCATTTCAGTCAGCCCTGACCAATATACACAAACATGATCCTCCTAAACTTGGCTCTGCCAACCTGCTGTCTGTAGCTGCAATTTAGATGGCCTAGGCCCTCCTACCTCCAGTTTACCTAATTAACATTGTTCTTGCCTTCCCTGCCTGCGACTGCCCCAGCCTTCACCCTTTCACAGATGATGAACCTCACCCAGGACCTCCCCACCGCTAATAAACCTTCTTTTGGTGCTTCATTCTTGTTCTGTGGTTCCTGATGCTTTACAGGTACTATAACTGCTTTTGAAATGCCACAGTACTACTATGGCTGTAGACAAATAAATCCTTAATATAAATTCAATTTTCCCAAATACTAAATTTTGTCTGTTTTAATAACATTACTTACCTGTACAAACAAATACAATAATGTAGACATAAAATCGAATAAAAAAATTTTTTTGAGTTTTTTAGTTTTAGCTATCACCACCCATTCCTCACCCGTCTCTCTCTCTCCTTAATTTAGTATAAAAATCTCCTCTGCTAGGARTATAGCTCAGTGGTAGAATGTTCACCTAGGGCCTAACCTGCACAAGGCCCCAGGTTTGATCCCCAGCACAACCACAAAGCTAAAAATTTCTCAGACTTCAAGAGAACTCTTGGCTATATGCCATCTTAGTTCAGTAGTCCCTACTTACCCCCCCCCCCTTTTTGCTCCTTTCTGTCAACATCTTTGATTTTGAACTCTCTGCCCTCTAATCCACAATTCATACCTAACCATTTACACATACTACTCCTAAAATAGATACAGCCAGATGAGGTATGCAGTATGGAAATCTTATCTGTCTTTATTCTATACGCACTGCAGTGTCTGTTTAGTGAATATAAATTTCTTTTGGTTTTAAAAAATTATTCTCGAATGAACATTGTTACTAATGGTCTTGTTTGAAATTTTCTTTGAACRTTTTCTTTCCTTCCATTATATTTTATTCGGTTACTTTAGTTTTCTAAATTTAAAATGRCCATATGGGCTTCCTTTACAAATCTGTATAAGGAAAATAAAGGGGAAAAAAGAAAGGTAACATCGAGCTGGGGAAGAAAATGTCTATTCTGCCTTCAAACTAGA